CTAGTCACCTCGCCGGCGGAGTCTGTGAGCCTGGGGGTGAAGATTCGGGATCATGGTGCATGGCATGTGGCATGGGGATCCTGGATCTAGAGCATCTTTGGGGACACTCGCATGGCTGGCTGGCTGGCAGGGCACGCAAGGCAAGGCAGGGCATGGCATGGCGGGTCATGGTTTGGCATGGCATGGCATGCAGAGTTGCAGCCTCTTGCTGCCGCACACTTCTCCAGGATTTGCAGAGAGCCGAAGAGCGGGAACTGTGCGTGGGCGGGGACCGACAGCGGGTGAGGGATCGTTGAGCTCGTGGTTGTGGATGGTGGGAAGACGACAGAGTTGGTGTGGTCTGGGGTCTTGGGGGCGATCGCTCCCGCACCTCCCCTCCCACGGTCTGCGTGCGCCCCTCGTTGGGTTGGGGAGAGAAATTGGCATTTCCCTTGGGGGTTGATCTCTGTTGGAACTCTGCTAATTACTGTGTAGGCTGTCAAGGTTGCGTCGTCAACAAGTGGAAGCAGGTTGCATCACAAGAGCTTGGTTGACAGGGACAAGGGGGGCTCAGGGTGACGGTGGAGCGGATCATGAGCCCTGTGCTTGCTTCAAGCAATACTTCTGGGGATTTTGATAACCAAGTTGTCTGGTCTCTGGGAAGCCTGGAACTGCTCTCCAAGCGCCGCATGGTGGCCGGAGTTTTTGGAGACGCATGGTGGTAGTTTGCAGTGGTTGACAAGTAGGTTGAATGGCTACTAACCACGAACTAGCGCCAGTCCCAAGCACCGCGCCGCCGTGGTGCGGACCCTAACGTCTACCGGTCTTTTCCAAGTTTCATTATTCAGTTCAACTTGTCTTGAGAGTCCATATCTTGGCAGATAAACGCCAACATGGTCACGCTGGAGCTCTACAACAAGTGGACAAAGAAAGCCTATCAAAGACATGAAGACTCTATCCGTGGGGTTCAGTGGATGCGTCTGTTATCTCCGGCGGAGACTCACAACATGTTATGACAGATAGGTCGGTTGGTTCTTGTCCAGCCTCATCAGCCCACTGGGGACCTGCAACGGCTGAGTGACCACAGTACGATAACGGTTCGTCCGAATGACGTTTTTTCATTGCAAGCGCGGGCTGGGAGAGACAACGAAAAACATGGCCAAGGGAACTAACAACCAAGCCTTCAAGCTGGTTTCTCTAGGCGCTGAAGTGAAACTGGGGTTGGTATGCGCTTCGTGGATATGTGTCAGACAACAGCCTGACGAAGGCACTCCAAAACATGAGACACGACATCACGGGAGAAGCTGAGACATGAGACAGTTCAATACGAGCGAGCAGCATCGGAAGGATGATGCCACTAGCCCGAAGCGGAAGAGAACTCGGTGAATGAATGGATGGGATATCCGTACTGTCGCGTCGCTCTGAGTCCTTGACCGAGAGAGGGAGGCATGTAAGTGACAAATGCGCTTCACGGACGTGGGGAGCGCATCGCATGAAGGCATGCAGCAAGATTCTGACACAGGACCAAGGCCTCGCATAGAACAGGCCAACGGCACAGCATAACAGACGGTCCAACGACAGACAGCAGCATCGCATGAAGACGGTGATTCAGACGTTTCATGTCGTTGAAGAACAGCTAGCCATGTAATGGAGACTGTATGCAGTTAGCATGGTCGCGCACAGGGCAGAGAGAGCCATGTCCTGTACGCAGGCAGCGCAGCGCAGCACGGGCTGGAACTGGAGCTGCAACGACAGTACGGATACAGGCGCTTGGTTGCTTGCCCGCAGTCTTGCAGAGCGGAGGCACACGCACGCACACCCCCCGTCACAAGGAACTGAGCACGGTGCGACAGTCAGACCCGGCAACGCGGATCGGGGGCGACAAGGCTCTGGTGCTGGAGTTGACGTTGACAGCCCGGCCAGGCCGTGTCTGTCTGTCCGTCTGTCTGCGTGCTTTGCAAAGAATGCGTTCTTTTTGTGCCGTTTTTCAACGGGAGGAAGTATGCCATTAGAGCCGGCCTGCTTGATGGCTTGGGTCTGGGCCTGCCTATTCCTGGAACCCAGGTCTTTGGATGTGGAGCGAGGATAGAGATTGGTGCGCATTATTATTCACGACAGGAGATTACACCAGCCTGAGATGAGTCTGTAAAAGACGCAGTTGTTGGCAATGTCGCTTGCTAGTTGCCTGTCTATCCGGATATCTACTGATGGTTCAGAGCAGATACATGCAGCAGTCAGAGACACCGCGATACCCGTTACGAGATGCTGACAATTGATGACATCTATTCATTGACTTTAGCCTACGAAGTCGGGGGAGGCTTCAGCCGTTATCCCATTCCCTGGTTTGGGTTTGGGTTTGGGTTTCTGCTTTCTTTTTTGGCGCATGCCTTTCAATAATGGGAACCTACCTTGCACGGTGACATCTCACTGGGCTCTGGCCTGGTCTGCTCCATTGGAGGATCATGATTGATGCGGGTGCTGATGCTGCTGATGCTGATGCAGCATTCTTGCTCTTCTTTTTTGGGCAATTCTACGGATACTTTCCTTTTCCCTCTTCAACAACATCCGTCTCACCGTCCATCTTGGAAAGGCATCCTCCTTGTTTCCCGCCCGAGCCGCCCACACTCCTCTTCATCCGGACTCCTCCATCTGTTCAATGCTGTAGACAACATCATCGCCATCTTCAACCACCGTCGGATATCCACCTCGCCTCGGCCGGCCTTCTCCTCTTTGACTGTCTGTCTCACCCCTAATACACACACGCCTCTCCTCACCCAGAGACCAACCAGGGTATTCTCCCCCCTGCTCAATCAACTCACCCTTGCTCCTGTCTTTGCCTTGGCTTCCATCTCCACCACGTCCCCTCCTCCCCCGGCTTGCGCCATCTCAACCAACCATCCTTCGTCATCCGTCTCCCTCCATCCGCGCCGCCTTTCAAACGGTAAACCCTTCCCCCCTCCACTCCATCCTCCTCTGCTATCCCAGCAGCCTCTTCGTCCCACTCCTCCCTCCTCCATCTACCGAGGACGGATACCATCTACACACAAGCATCTATCAAGGAGTCAACCGACGACACGGGGAGCATCATCAACAACAACATCGGTATTACCCATCACCAACAGTTTCTATACCCTCTACCTTATCCGGCACATCTTTCATTGAACAGCACCACCATCTTCGGCAACAGAAGTTACCCATCATCGGAAGCGCATCATCATCCCTCTCTGGTTGCCATTGTCTCTCGAACTCGAGGGACACAGCCCGCGCGCGCGCAACACGCGCAAACCTGTACAGCATCAGGGAAGCGTACCAAGTCTCGGTTCCTTTTTTTTTTTTCATGAAACCCATTCCTTTCCATCAAAGATCCTGTCTGTTGCGCTCAGCCCCGCGCAACTCACATCTTATCTGGCGTTTCTCTCCATCACGTACTGATTGCGACTGGCGCGCCGTGCTTGTCTGCGCAATCGCATCGCATCGCATTCATCATCAACCTTGAACCAGAGGTCCCAGCTGCTGCGCTACGGTTGATACAAAGGCACTAGCCAAGCTCCGCTTCAGAAAGCTCGTTTCTCTTCTCCACATTCACGCGCGCCTCCTCGGTCGCATTATCTCATACGACGCTATCACTCGCGCGCACTCGCGTCGGGACCGTCAATCAGAGTCACTCACCGTCGCTGACGCCCCCGCTGCGCCGCCGCCGCCTCCTCCACCTCCGCCTTCACCAGGCTTTTTGGCTTGGTTGCTGCTAGGTCCCCTCAGATCCCGGTCGTCACTTCTGGGTCCTGGTCCTTGCCTTGTCTGCTCGGACCAATCCTTGCGCACCTGCCTGACCGGGTGATTGGATCCATCCTCCCAGGGCCTTGCTCCTGCCCCCCCCCGAGGAGTGGTTTTTGCCTAGCTTCCTTCCCGGGTCTCAAAGTCGCCACTGGCCACTGCACCTCACTGCAAGCAAGTGCGACTGACTGCAACTGCAACTGCCTGCAACTGCAACTGTCTTGCCTGGTAGCTCCCTCGCTACTTTAGCTCGCGCACCCACTACTACTGCACCTTCCCTCCCACCCCATTCATAGGTTCAGCGCAATCCCATCCCGTCCCCTCCACCTGCCACCATCCATCATCATCATCCATCCCACCACAACCACTACCTCCACCACCTCCATCGCCATTTTCTCCGCCTTCCGCCATCACACACACACACGCACGCACGCTCGCATACACCCGCTCCATCGCATCGTTTAACCATCCACCTTTTGATCAACGAGCACACGTATTTTTCGAGGTTTTTTGCAAGGCACGCACGCGCATTTTCTCATCGCTTCGTTACGCGATCACCGTTTGGTCTGTTTCGCATCCGCTACGCTGCGCTGCCGCCCTTGTCCTTTCCATCCATTTGAACCGCGAGCCTCGTTGACGTCGTTGCCGCCGCCGTCGCACAACGCGCTCCGCGTCCGCATCCCGTTCCATCACCACACAAAGGTAATTCAGCATCCTGTTCCGTTCCCTCTCTGTGCCCCGTCCCTCCCTTCCAGCCTTGCATCCTGTGTCTGTCTTGTCATCTGGCCTCGTCTTCGCCTTTTTCTTTGCACGCCCATCTGGACTGGATGGAGCGCGCCGCCGACGCCGCCGCAACCGCGCCCGTTTCCCGGATTCCTATCTTGTCTCGCTTTGGATCGCTAGCCCATGCCTGTCTCTGGGAGTTTGCGCCCCAGCCTGCGCATCCGCCAGCGCCTGAGCCTCCCCTCCACGATTCCGGGCCTTGGCCTGGCCGGCCGAGTCTCATCACAAGACGAGGCCAGTCAGGCAGGCTTCCCACCTCAAGGCCCGGCTTATAACCTGCGATTCGCCATTCGCAACCAACGACGCGCCTCCTCCAGGCGGCCAACCACGTGCGACTGACGTTGCCCTCCTCTGCATCTTCTCCAACGCTTCCACTCGTCAGTCCAAACATCTCACGACACGTTGCCATCGCCATCACCGTGGTCGCTATCCTCGTCGCTCCCTGTTGGCCTAGCCGCTCGGTCATGTACTCCGCCCAGCAAGGCGGCGCTGATAACGCGACGATCAATCCCGCCGCTCTCAACTCACCCGGTAAGTTTAATAGTTATTTACTTGGTACTAATTGTCGCCTCACACCACCCCGCGGTCTGCCTTTCCCCTCTTGTTCATGTCCTGCCCGCGCGCAAGTTCAGCATCACTGTCTTGTGCTTCACATCATGTTGAAAAGCCGAAACACCCCACCTTCCCCTGCCTACTCTTTTCATAACTACAGTTGCGACATAGACCGAGTGCGCGCGCGCTCAACGCCGCCTCTCTCTTGCGCTTTGCTCTCATCACTTCATCATGCTAATCCTTCGCCTTGATTACAGGTATCTCTCACCCGCCACTGCGCAACCTTAAGCGCAGCCACTCTCCGGACCTCTACGACACGCCGCAACCCGGCAATGACGGTATGTCGGGTCGGATAAAGCGAAAGGAGCAGCTTGGCGCTGCACTGCTCTTGGCGCGCCCGGCCTCCTGCCGCAATCCGCTCGCGATACTTGCTTCCGCTGTGATTCCGGACTCTTCACCGTGCTTTTTGCTACATACATCACAGCCTCATATGTCATATTAAAGATGGGGGTTAGAAAACATGCTGACTGATCTTACCTTTCCAGGTGATTCTAGGCCGCTTCGGAAACGAGGAAGACCGATGAAGTCGAGAACATCAGGGAGCATTTCCGAGGCTCCCGGACAGGCTCCGGCCTCGCTCCCCCAGGCGATTCCCCCGCCGCAGACACCTCAGTCTCAGAACACAACATTGCCGCAAGCCAGTCCCGCGTACACACCCGCTCCGACTCAGATGCCCCCCAAGACCACTCCGACGAAGTCGACACTTAAGGCACTACCTACCGTTCGAGATCATACGACCGACCAGCTTAATGCGACCGGCGATGAATATCTCCCGCGCGAGATCGACGAATTTGGAGAGAAGAAGGTGCAGCCCAATGGCACACTAAATGGAGGTCGGGAGTACAAGTGCCGGACGTTCTTGGTCCCTAACAGAGGGGATAAGCTATTCATGCTTGCCACCGAGTGCGCAAGGGTTTTGGGCTACCGAGACTCGTACCTCTTGTTCAACAAGAACAGGTCCCTCTTCAAGATGATTGCAACCCAGGCCGAAAAGGATGATCTGGTCCAACAGGAGATTCTTCCGTTCTCGTATCGCTCGAGACAAATCGCCATTGTCACTGCCAGGTCCATGTTCCGACAGTTTGGAAGCCGTGTTATTCGCGACGGTCGAAGAGTTCGGGATGACTATTGGGAAACCAAGGCCCGGAAACAAGGCTTCACCGAGGCTGACCTTGCTGGAGAGAAGCGTCCCGGCGCAACCAAGGCCAGAGAGGCGGCTGAGGCCCAGAACAACGTCCTGCTGGCTGGCCCGCACCCAGAGATCGTGTACAGCAATAATCCTGGACCCTTCCCCGGCCCCCCGCAGCCGCACCTCGTCCAACCAGGTATGATCGGACCACCACCCGGAACCACCACCAGAATGCCTGGATTGACACTAGGATCAGAACTGAACGATTCACGGCCACGCGATTACTCGGGAATCCTCAAAGGCGGACCTCGACAGGAGATCACCGGCCCTGCTTACCAAGACCAGACCCGTCCCTCGCCTCTCGGAGAGCTCAACGCCCAGGCTCACCATGCCGCCGACTTCAGCCGGTCAGTTAACCAGCAGCGGGATATGCGCAACGAATACCTTACAGGGATGTGGCGACGATCCCATGAACAACCGTCTTCGAACCTGACCCAGCAGCCCGTGGCCTCGGCCGACACGACTTCGGTTGCTACCAGTAGGCCGTCGCATTCACCGCATACCACAGCGACGGCCATCTCCCAGCAGCCTGGAATGGTTTCTACGCAGAGCCCACAGATGATGATGACCACGGCGCCGTATTCTCAATCAATCAGCGCCCAGAGCAACCTAACTCAGGCGCCCATGAGAGGTATGGCCCACTCTCCAACGCAGTCGAGCGCAAGGCCAACACCTACTCTCCCAGGTTCGACCAGCTCTCTGTCGCAGGGAACGCCCAGCTACAACTACCAGTCGGGCCAGAGCATGTGGCCGCAGGCTCAGGCGCAGCAACACACGTATGGCAGTTACACGGCACAGTCGCAAGCGCCCCATCCATCGCAGTCGCCTGCGTCACATCTGCGCCAGCCAAGCTCGGGACAGATGCAGACCAATATGCAGTTCCCCGGTATGGCAAGCATGCAGTACGGTGCGGGTCAGAGCATGTACCCAACAGATCAGACGCCTCGGCAATACATGCCCCAGGGTGGAGCCGGAGGGCCGGCGGTCACTCAGGGCTGGTCTGGTCAGCATTCGCCGGCGCAGCAGCAGCAGCAGTGGTGGACTCCTGGACAGCAGCCACAATAAGGGCTGTGACGACATGTGCTGACGCGACATGACGGAATGATTTGACATACGATGACCTACCTACTCCTGGTTTCACTAGGAGATTCGACTTAATTGGTGCGGTGCTGTATTGTGTCGGATTCTTATTTTTTTGGATATATGTTTTATGGAGAGACTTCTATCCTCTCTTCGGTCTGAACTCCTTCAGTATTCCTGGACAACCACGCATACACCACGGTGGAGAGGCTATGTGCTTTTGTGGGCTGATTTGGCTCGATGAATTGCAAATAGCGATTGGGCTGGGTGGGATAGAGGAGTCGGAGGAATCAGGAACTGAACACGGCATTCCTATCTTGTTATTCTTGGGCGGTTTGGTTTGGTTGGATTGGATTGGATGCAGAAGGGCTGGGGTACATGCATGGCTCGTAACACATTTTGTCCTTCCCGCTGATGGGGTCTTGGGATACTCATGGGTTTCATATTTTGATCTTGTTTGGAGGCATTTTCGGGTTTTTCCTGTTTGGAAAGTCAGTTTGTTTTGTTTGGATTCCATGCGTCTTGTCTTGTCTTGTCTTTTTGGACGAGGGAGGTTCTATCGGCGGTTCGCTTGTGCGTCCCTAGGAGCCGTTTGCTGCGTTGGCAAGGCAGACTTTTATCGGGCTTTCATTTTGATACCACGTCACCTCTTCGATTCGTTCTTCCCAACACCATTTTTATCTATTTCTTCTTCTTCTTCTTCTTCTTCTTCTTCTTCTTCTTCTTCTGCAGACACGCATTGTTTATTCTTGTTGAGCGGACGCGACGAGCAGTCACCTGGGCAGACCATGCAGTGTTGCATCTAGGAGGATTCAGGGCTTGAGGCAGGTTTTCGGCCTGGGTTTGATGCGGCGCGTGGTGATGGTGTTGTTGCTGCTGTCCTTTGGCTGCGTGTCTGTCTGGGCTTGTTTGCCGAGTTTTGATGTTGTCGATTAAGTTCTCTTCTTCTCGCTTGGGGGAGGTTTCTACTCGTGTAACTTTTGCTGCCTGGACGGGAGCATATATCTTTGTCACCCCGGTTAGTACATCGCGAGTGCGGTCGGCATTGGGCGGGTCGTTGGATCTGGCAATGAGAATTGATTTATTTTGATCTTGTGCAACTTGGTTGTCTCTTGACTCGACGAATGATGGTGAGACTATACTTGTGGAGGATAAGTGAAGTGAGCATTATCATCAACCCAACTCACCTCCATCTCAGCTATATATTCCCTCATGTCGTATAACAAGGCCTTGCTTGACCTGCTCTCCCCCGATTCCCTCGCCCCTCCTGCCGCCTGCTGACCTGACAGAATGTCTCAAAACGACCCAGCGAATCGGGCTGTCCGGGATACCTACAGGAGGAGGGGCTCGCACGAGGTGGACAGGCGTGGTAGCACCCGTCGGGATGTTTGTCTCGGGGACAAGTGCCTGCGCCCTACGAGGCTGGCGTGTCTGTGAGAGGGCAGGGTTTCGAGATGTGATGGGTGAGGTGGGTTGCACGGCGTCGGAAATGCTAACAATAGGTTCGCCTGGAATTGTCAAGTTATCATGTGCTTCTGAGACTTAGGGGGACAATATGTTGCAAGATGGGGAGGCTAGACAGGTAGCCAAAGATTAGAGTAATAGCACTGCTCCGAGGGCGTGGCTTATCCAATAGGCCACATTAATCACTATCGTCTCCATCCAAAGCTTCGTCCTTTTCTTCCTTTCCTTCTCTAATCTCGAGGGCATCCTGGGTCTCGTCGCCACTAGCTTCGGCCTCGTCCTCTTCCTCTTCTTCCTCCTCAACATCATCGTCATCATCATCCTCAGGCACAGGCTCGTCTTCCTCCGTCTCGGCATCCTCTTCGACTTCAGCAGCTGCTCCAGCGCTGGTGGGGTCGACACGGGCACGCTTGGTGCGAGGACCCGATGCCTCAGAGGCGAGAGTCGTGTCAGGATCCACGTCAGTCTCGACGTGGGAAGTGTCGGGCATATCCGTGTCAGGTCCGTCAGTCTTCTTGGCGCGGACCTTTTGGCGGTAAGATGTGCGCTTCTCAGTCTGGATGGCGTTGAACTCTGTCACAATGTGTCAGCGTGTTCTTGAGAACAAGGTTAGAGACAGGACATACTAGCAAACTCGGCTTCCAGGGGAGCGCGGAGGAAGGAAAACTCGGTATCCTCTAGTGCCTTGAAGACGTCTGCGGGAGCGATGGTCTTTTTGCCAGCGTTGATGGTGTTTTCGTTGGCACTGCGAGGTGTCAGTTGTTGAGTACACAGACCCCGTTAGAAGATGGACATACTGCGAGGCCAGATAGTTGATGAATACTGTAGTGCTCTGGCTCAAGGCCAGGATAGCATTGGCCTGAATCTGCGTGTTGGGTGGGAGAACACCCTTGGACAAACGGGTTATTATCGATTTGGGAAGTGTCAGGTCCTATCACAAAGTTAGCTAGAGCTCGAATCATCATCACCCTTCCACTTCATCATCCCCTAGCTTGATATATCTTACCTCGATAGTCACGGCATCCTTATGGTCTTTATCCTTATCTTTGTCCTTGTCCTTCTTATCCGTTGAGGGAGAGGTGGTGTCGACCGCCTCGGCACTCGCTGGAGCTGGCGTCGAGGCGGGAGCAGGAGTGACAGCAGCCGCTGGCGTAGGGGCCGGGCTAGGCTCTGTGGGTGTTGCGTCGTCCATGGGGACGAAGCGGGCGGTGGATGTGTCGCTCTTGCGCGGGTTGGACTTGCGCGGCGGCATTGGGAGGTGAGGCTGAGTGGTGGTGAAGTGTAGAGGTGAAGGTTTAACGAGAAAGAGGCCTGGTGAGATGCGACGAGGCGGCAGGAGAGCAGCACTTCAACAGGGCAACTCTATTGAGGGAAATGATACAGCCCGGACACAGCGACCACTTGGCCTTTGCTATGATCTCTTCTCTCTCCTTTCCGTTGAGATCCTAACGCGACGGGGGAGATCACCAAGAGCCGTATCTCATTCCTCGATAAGGATGTGTTCCGTTGATAAGATTCAGAGTGTGTATGGTTCCTCCAAGGAGTAAGAGGATGTGATGGCAATGATTTCGTCGCTGAGTGAAAGAAGCCTTGACAAGCGACGTTTGCGTGTTGGTGTCTGTGTCATGTCAAAGTTGAAGAAGCGCGCGTCTGTGGGTGGCGACGCGATGCCCCGCTGTGAGTGGCCGAGCACGCGTTAAGTGGTTATGGTAGTCCGGCTGCGGCAGGTACTACGAGCAATGGCTCTTGCAATTGTAATGTCATGGTCAAAATAAAATGCAAAGAGATATCAAGAGTTTAGATCAGTTTTATGACTACAATAAGATTATACTTTGCTATTCACTACATTGGAATTCACGAATCAATTGGCCTCTTCATGCACATGCATGTGCCGCTACAGAGAGGAAATGAATGAAGGTAAGACTACTATACTTGACATATAGCTTCACCCAACAATCAAGTCACTTCATGCAAAGAAACAGTATGAGTTCAATCTGTTCATCAATTGATTTAAGTAGATATGTATATATATATATATATCTTGCTAGCCGTCTGACTGCTCGTACCCTTTCCGTCATGGACATGTATATCTCTCTGGTTCCTGATGATACAGGATACTTCTCATAATGCTGGGTGCTAACCCTCCAGCATGAGTTTTTGCTTCATGTGCGGACTGTTCATAGTCCCATCATGCCGCTTGCTTTGTTCGTCATAACGTGGTCAAAAAGTAAAGGAAAGTTCTGGGGTATATCCATCATAAAAAATACACAAAAAGCCTCCGTGTCCCGGCCATCATAAGCGCCAGCACGTAAAGTAATCCTCCCTTGAAGTTTCGAAAAGGGATTAAACGAGTCGATCTCTGCCGACTAGGAGTAAGAAGAAGAAAAAAAGATTGGGGTTCTTGCTTGTTTCATAAAAAGGAACGTGGGCATGAGCTTTGTTGCTTGGGTAGGCAGTGTTGTAACGTAGAGTTTCGGGTGGGATTCGGCGAATGAAATGAGATAATCTCTCTTGCTCGTCATTGTTGATGCAAGAATCCATCCATCAGTTCATAGCACTTTGATTCCCTTGTCCCTGGTGGTTTCAAGGCAGTCCGTCCGAGATGATCGGCCCCGCCTTTCTCGGGACAACGGTGATCGACGGGGGTTGAAACGAGCCGGCGCCGAAACCGTTGCTTTTGTTCACCTCGCATGGCATACAGGCCAGACCGGGGTTACTGTACGGCGTAGGAATACCGAAATTGAGTCTGCCGTGTTATGGTTCATCCGATAGCCCTGCCAATTTCCGACTTGCGGATCAGCGGCCGGGGTGAGAGCCCACCCATGAATACCTCGTCATCAAATGACATCCTTGAAGGGCTGATCATGGAGTGCATCCGGTGGTGTTGCCGTCGGATGTCAAGAGACCGATTTGCTCGCGGAATGTACTCGCTGGAGCTGCGAGGGCCGAAGACGGAATCGGGGTAGTGGCCGTGCCAAGGATCGCGAGGTGAGATGGCACTCACGGTGCTGCTGCGACTGCTGCGTGTGCGACCATGGCGAGAGGCCGAAGGGGGAAGCTTGGCCAGACGTGAGGGCTGGCGCTTCAAAGGCGAGACGAAGGCATCGTCGCCTTGGACGGTCTCATCGGTGAGACCTGGGCGTGAATTAGGGGCACGGGCGAGGAGCGGAGTCGAGGGGACATCGATGCTGCGCTTGTGATGAAGGGAGCGAGGTGAAGAAATCTCCTCGTGAGGGTTCGGGCTGTTGTAGATGATGACACTGGGCGGTTTCCGAATCGAGCTCACGGATGTGCTCTTCTGACGCTGGTGCTGCTGCAGCTGTTGCTCCAGGCTGTGGCTGTGTCCATGGTTGGAAGTGGCCTCGATGATCGGTGTCTTCTCGAGAGACTTGTCGGTCCTCCAAGACTCAATCTCCTCATCGTCGATGGGGGTGATGCCTCTCTTCAAGAACAGGAAGCGACGTTGGCGTTGACGACTTCGGCGGTAGAGGAAGCATCCGACAGCAGTGATGGCGGTCAAGGGGACCACAGTCGCAAGGACGATGACGATGATCTTGATTTCCGAGTCGTTCATAATGACATTGTCATCGCGAGTCTGTGAGCGAGTATGATGAGGTAGGTGGTGGTGAGGGTGAGGGTGAGGGTGAGGGTGAGAGGTGAAAAGATGTCGTGAAAAGAGGCTCTGCCGTATAAGTCGCAGACCAAGATTGATTGAGAAGTGAAAGATGAGCGAGCGAAGTGCTTTCAACGGCAACGGTTACCGAGGAAATGTCCACGGGGCATCAGAAAGCCAGGAGTTTTACAATGCTTGCAACTCGTAAACTAGGGTAAAGGCGGTCAGTTGCTGTGTTGTTCAAGGGTATGAGCATGAGGCGAAGAGTGAGTGCAATGCCAAGGCTGTCCCTGAAAGATGAGCCGCAGGCATGCCAGTAACTAGGATCGAATCCAATGCTGATGATTCGTAAAGCGAAAGGGTAGACCAACGTGAAGACGGCACTCAAGGCGAGAGTTGAGATGATGCTGGATCAAATCGATTCGACCAACTCATGAGACGGTACAAGTTCAACCCCGTAAATCCGGCCACCGTTTTCCAAATCGACGTCGGTAAGGTAAAGAGGTGAGGGGGGTAACGGGCCAGGAACTGGACGCCCTGTATATGGCACAGACAGGACGAGGGACGGCAGGTCGGGGATGGGTTGAAGCTATATAGGGACTGGGGGCCTTTTAGAGAAAGAGAAGCGAGGCAGAAGAGCGGAACTGGGGTGTGGGAGGGTGTGCAGGGTTACAGCGGCGGCGTGTCATGGGTAGGGACGGGATGGATGGACCTGGATCGTCATGAGCAGCATGGGATGGGATGGATTCTGAAGCAGGGGTGTGGAGAAACGAGCGAGCGAGCCAGAGAGGGTGTGAGAGCGGGAGGAAGCTGATACAGACCTCCATCGAGAGACGGATGGATAAAAGATACTTGGTGGACTAAATCCGTCCACAAGCTGGGGTCCAGTACGGAGAGGGTACCAACTGTTCTATGCTTAGCAGCACCCAGTTCCTGTTTCGTTCAGGTACATGTACATATTTCTAGATGCTCCTGCTCCTGCTTGCTCCTGCATGTGCCTTGCATATGGTTGAACTGGGCGAG